ATGGAACTCATGTAATGAGACTTTATCAACTCTCCCTGACTGAGTTGGACGTACAAGACTTATTTTTAATAGATTTAGGGAATACTAACTCTGTTCCTACTTCAACATAAATTCAACTGCCTCAATGCAATATATATATATATATATATATATGAAGTCATCCAAATAATGATATTCTTCTAGTGTCGGTCAAACACCCCTAAACAGTTATCCCAAGCAGTAACTTTGCCACTAGGACAAAACTCCTCAACCTGCAACAGTCACCACGCCTAACTCCAACCTAATCCTGACTTGTTCTCATACACTGCACAATATGATCATTGCAATCCATCCATATGGAACCAAAAGGATAAGCTAGAATTCAATAAACAATTATACAAGCATCATCATTTTCAAAAAATTCAATCCATGCACCCTATCATACAACTATCATGCAATAAAATAACACATGAATGATATGAATGCATATTATGAAGTTAGGCATGAAAAACACATAGAAGGGAGGTTGAATATGTGTGTGTGCACTAGTACAAAAGAGGTGTACTACGTCGGATATTTTAGGTTTTTTACGTCAGAAAACGTATTGATGTAGAAGCGGGAGACGTAAATTTTACGTTGGACCTGCAAACTCGACGTAAATTTACGTCGGACATTACGAAATCCGAAATAAAAAAGTAGTAAAAAAACAAAAAAAAAAAAACATAAGAACGCAGGCAGAACGACCCGTTCTGCAATCAAAAAGGCCCGTTCTGCAAGGAGAACGGGCCGTTCTGCTTCGTAGAACAATAAAAAAAAACGCCCACTACCTATACAAATAGAACAACCAAAAAATCGAATAAAATAGATAGCCAGAGTAGCAATGCTAAGTAGAAAAGTGCTAACGAAACCTTGTTTCATACCTGAGGAGCAGCAACAATGTGCAAATGAGTAACAAAGAGTTCATCCCTCTGCAAAAAAACAAAAAACGATTCAGTAACAAAGGAGAAGGAGAGGGTTTACAAAGAAAAAAATGAAAAGTGATGAAAAGTGAATGCGCGCTATGTGCCTCGCGCTCTCTTATTCAAATTTGCGTCTTTTTTACGTCGGACCTGGTAGGGTCCGACGTAAAATGTCAAATCTACGTCGGACAAACATACCTCCAACGTAGATTGGACTTTTTACGTCAGACCCTACCAGGTGTGACGTAAAAAAGTTCGCAAAAATTACAAAAATGCCACCGCGTTTTTTTTACGTCGGATTTTCATATTTTCGACGTAAAAGGGGTGACGTAATA